CAACCCTGAAATTAGTTTTGATGCCCCTTGTTATGACTTGGGATATGAGATATTCCCCAAATCTCCTGTTAATGCAGGAATGTTCAGAGGTAAAATGATTAGACTATGGGAGCTGGAACCCAATCAGTCTATCCCAGTTTGAATGGACAACTGGGCTGGGTGGTTACTCTGGGCCAGCAGGGTGGGGTCAGAGGAGGTGGATCACTGGGGTCCTTGGAATGGTTTATCTTCCCTTTGGACCCCTCCCCTTTTTCTGCTTTCTGGCTGCCACAAGGTGAGCAGCTTCCCTCTGCTATACCCTTCCACCATGATGCTCTGCCTCATCTTGGATGGGCCCAGAGCAATGGACTTGGCTGACCATGAACTAAACCTGTGAAACTGTGAACCAAAGAGAGGGGAGTAATGAAAACTTACCTTATTGTTCTTGTTGAGTGTTTTGGTCACAGCAATGAAAATTAACCTTCCTCTCTTTCTTCATGTTTAAGCCATCAGGAAATCCTGCTATCTTCAAATATTCTTATCACCTCTGTTACCTAGGTCTGGGGATGTAGCTCAGTGTTACATTGCCCTGGGTTCAATCCCTAGTACCAAGACAAAACAAAACAAAACCTTGAAAAAACAGCTTTATCTGTTTATCCCTTTCATAATTTATTTGGATTAACAATCTATCAGTTTATTAAGGATGTCAAGACAATAGAGTACAGGAAAGAAATCTTCCTTTTGGGATTACAACAGTATATATCTGATGAGAAAATAAAATAGGTGCAAAGGAAATATCTCGTATTTGTGTTGTGTGATCTGTTGACATAAATGTACACATAAGGCCACATGAAACTTGCTTTGATGATTCCTGCCTTTGATATTGCTTGCTCCATGTTTGCTTTGCTTGGTCTCCATTAGAAAGTGTTTCTTCTATATAAATACACCCAGGAAAAAGAAAGTTCAGACCAGTGTGTGCAAAGTCCTGCACACCCGAGATTCATTTATAAAATAGTCATGTTGTAAATCTCAGCAGGCAATCCAGTATTTGCCTAGCCACAATGACCTCTGCACCCAAGAGGGAAGGAGGGAGGGGAAGGGAGCAGGAAAGAGGAAGGGAGGGAGGGAAGGCGGAATCTTATAGGCACTTGGTTCAGTTCATTGCAATTTCTCATAGGTATTCAGCCTATGTGATAGGTAARAAGTATAAATACATGATTGRGTAAGAAGTATAAACACATATCATATTCCATTGCACCATCCATTTCTGACAATTGCCATTTTCCAGAGTAGTTATTGATGGCATTTGTTTGAATTCATTCCTAATTCAAAGGGGACCCAAGGGCCCTGTTTATCCTTGGGCAAAAATTAGCTTCTGCCTTTTCCAGAACTTAACCTTCCTGGCTCCCCATATTCTAAAACCAACATTTGTAGGAGCAGGAAGCCAGTTTTAGCCCCAGCTTCAGGGTATGCCCTATGGCCTTCCTCTTACTGTGTTTTCTCCCCATACAGTATGAGTACACTTCTCATGCTGTGTCTTCTTCTTTCCCTGAGGAAGACAAGGCCTCACCCCAGTCAAGCCTCTCCCCTATTCTTGGGCCTCTCTGACTCAGCTTTGTTTGCCATAGAAACAAACAAAACCATTTTACCAATTATTGGCAGTTTTCTTTACCAAAGCATCAAACTGGTGATGAGGTTATCTGGAAATATTGCCCAAGCCCAGAAGACTCCMTGAAGGGGTGGGATGAGAGAGTCCTCACTAACACATGGTACTCATGGTACAGCCAGAGTTCTAAGTATTTAACATGTATTCACTTTTTAACTCCTCAATGGTCTTTTTAAAAAAATTTTTTTTTAGTTGTCAATGGATGTTTGTTTTTATTTATTTATATGTGGTGCTAAGAATTGAACCCAGTGCCTCATACATGCTAGGCAAGTGCTCTACCATTGTYCTAAGACCCCAGCCCACTTCAAGGGACTTTATGAAGTAGGTACTAGTATTACCATCCCAATTGTACACAGGGACCAGAGAGGTTAAGTGGTAGGGTTGTTGATTCTAATCAAGGCATTCTGGCTTCAAAAAGAGTATCAAAGGACTGCCCCCAACTGTGGGCCAGGAGCTCAGACTCCTTGACTGTCTGCATTGTATTCTTATCTATCTGAATTCAGCAGTRAACAGGGTGTTTATCTGTGTCTTTGGAGGGAACACCCCACGACTGTTTGGCATGAAACAATTTAATATGATTTAAAGTAAGTTTTTCATTACTGATTTCACTTCCTATCCATGGATGTTCAAAGGAAGTCTGACTCCCCCAGTGCTCACCCTAGAACATGACAGTGGGTCCTGGAACATCTATCCATCTGTTAGCCTGGACTCAGTGTGTACAGACAGACACAGGACCCCCCATGTCTGGACAGAGTGGATACCCTTTCCTCTYAGTTAATTGAGGGAGGTTCCTGATTGGTTTAGAAAGCTGCTGCTATGAGGCTCCAGGTTGAGGCAGGGGTGCTGCTTAGWGTAAGGCTCTGGGTTCAAACCTCAGCACCACAAAAAACCAAAACAAAAACCTGCTGAATTTTCTAGGGATCCTCAGTTGCCAGGGTCATCTTTTTACATGTCTTGGTTCAAATAGGGTCTGGTTAGGAAAAATCCCCACAGACTTCTATGACCTTCTGGGCTCTGAAGATTATGACACCAATGAAAGTTCTAGTTCTAAAATCTGCTAAATGTAGACACTTGTTGTTCCTGCAACAATGTGATCCAGATATGGAGTTCTAGGCTAGGGCTGATGCCTATATTTCCTTCTTCTTCCTGGAACTTGAGACATTTTTTGGATCATCTCAGTTCRTAAAAGGGGTCTTGTCATCTTTCCACAGAGTGCTTGGTGCTGTGCTTGGCCATGTCCTTAACGCTTTTCAACCCCACTCATGAACTTTCTCTCCATCACTTCATCCCAGGGGACCSAGGAACCAATGGAGGCCAGTATTCCATACCCCTAAGTATGGAATATCAAAGGACTGCCTCCAACTGTGGGCCAGGAGCTCAGACTCCTTGACTGTCTGCATTGTATTCTTATCTACCTGAATTCAGCACTGAACAGGGTGTTTATCTGTGCCTTTGGAGAGAATACCTCACAACTGTTTGGCATGAAACAATTTAATAGGATTTAAGGTAGGTTTTCATTACTGATTTCATTTTCTATCCATGGATGTTCAAAGGTAGTCTGCCTGCCTGCCTGCCTGCTGTAGGTATTTCACTTCACTGGATTTTTTTTTTTCTGGTACCCAGAATTAAACCCAGGAGCAATTAACCACTGAGCCATATCCTAGCCCTTTTTATTTTTTATTTTGAGACAGGATGGCTAAGTTACCTAGGGCCTCACTAAGATGCTGAGGTTGGCTTTGTATCTGCGATCCTCCTGCCTCAGCCTCTTGAGTTGCTGGGATTATAGGAGTGTGCCATCATGTCTGGGCTCCATTGGGATTTTGAAAAACCTGTCCTTCAGCGCCTGGTCAGGCCTGGTCAGCACAGTCTCCTTGCTCATACCTTCCGGGGAAATGCACCCTTAGAAGTAGAGAAAGCACAGGCCAGCAGGCCCAGTTATGCAGAAAAGGAGACAGCAAAGGAACGCGCCCCTCCCCCTTATCTTGGAGTTGGGTTCTTGGTAGTCAAGTCCTTGCTGAGCGTCTCCAGCCCTTTGGCTTTTCACCTTTTGGACTATTTGGGTTCATCAGCATCCTCACTTGGGGAGAGGATTTGGGTAAGTGGTGACATCCACAGGAGCCCGTTCTCCTAGTTCCTGGCAGCCCTACAGAAGGAAGAGAAGGTGGGAAGGCTGGCTGGAATGAATGCTTAAAAGGAGGCTGGAACAAGTTACCCACTGCATTTTCAGTCTTCCTGCCTTTTGCCTGTTTCTATGCCCCCGAGAACCGGCTCCACAGCTTTGCTTCTGTGAGCTGCAGGGAAGGCGGCCATGCTGGCTCCAGCTCCAGCCAGACCCTTTCACAGGAGGCGGACTGGGGGAACCAAAGCTTCCCTAGTTTGAATAGCAGGCAAGCTGACGCAAAGACTCCAGGGATAGGACARCAGGTGCAGGCTCCTCCACATCCCAGGGGACACAGGCTTTGATCCCTAGGGTATGTGGAAAACCCCAAGGAGACCAGGGCCAGAGGCTCTGGGTGGAACCATGGCAGGGGAGGTGTCTGAGACAGAAATATGAGACTCTGGGCAGTGATAAAATAAACTGTTTTAATAGGAGGCTTCCTGAGATGGCCACTTTTTTTTTCTTTCTTCTTCTTCTTCTTCTTCTTCTTCTTCTTCTTTTTTTTTTTTTTGCTATCAGCCAGTCAGTGTCCCTGCCCTGAGGTTTCTTGGGTGTGCCCTGGCTGAACTCCTGGCCCCACTGGAAGCCAGGATGTCACTCTGACATCTCCAGCCCCTCCAGGCATCCAGAGGTGTGTGTCTTAACATTGGGAGATGGGTGTTAGCTGGTGGTCAGTCCAAAGGATGCTGTCCTTCTGTGTGTCCAGGCCAGAGGGAGGTGGGTGAAGGACTTCACTTCCCATTTGGGGTGTTTTTCTCCATGGGGAAGAAAGAGGTGGCAAATCACTTTTGAAAGTTCAACTCTGACCTTTACAAAGAAAACTAATAGGCACTTTAGTATTATATACAGGGTAGAGGGAGACGATGCGGAGGGGAAATTGCACTTAATTACAGTAGTTTATAGTTTACACCCATTGGACAAATTTACTTCTTTAAAAGAAATCTCGAGATCATTTGGGCTGGGGGTGGGGAGAGGGATTTGCCGATATTTACAGTGGGTTTGGCTCAGTTCAACAGTGCGTGTCCTCCTCTCCTTGTTTCAGTAACAGATTCAAGTTTTCGCATCAGTTTGTTCGATGAAGGGTCACAACACGGGCTCTACCGTTTTCCCTCTGCCTCCTGCGCGGTTTCGTGTGGCCCACCTCTAGGATGGACAGGAGCACTCRACATCTTGGGAGAGGCATCATGACAATACTGCATAGAAGGGAAGCTGGGCTTCAGGCTGCGCCTCCCGAGAGCGGATTGTCTGAGGTGCCAGCAGGATGTCAGCTAAGCAGGGACCTCTCACAGGTGCTTGTCAGGTCACTGGGCTTTTCCATGACAGCTGCCCAAAGGGTGACGGTGTAGAAAACAGAGTCCTTGTTGCTGTGCACCAAGTAAGTGATAGGTGGGCATCACCAGGCTTGCAGTGGACACTGCAGAGAGAGAGGAGAGAGAGCTCAGCTGTGTGCATTAGCCAGGGACATTAGTTTGGCTTCTCCAAGGGAGCTGACACCTGGCTCAGCTGGAGAGAGCTGGGGGTGGGGGACTGGGCATCTAGGGCTAGGCAGTTCTACAGTGTTGGTTCTGAAGCACACTTTCTTGGAGCTGGCTTTTCTGGCCACTTCAGTGGAGAGAAGTGAATTGCTGGGGACCTTGTAATAGTCCTAACATGCTGACCCTAACCCTGAAATTGAGCTCCTCTTTTTGTGAGAGTGGTATTTATACAGCACTCAGGCCAGTGGCAAAGGCAATTGGGTGGGTTGCCTCTTATGGAAGTGTTTCTTCCTAAGATCTCTAAGCACAGGGGTGCCCTAGATCACTGCTTCTCAAACTTTAATGGCCCTACCAGTACAGAAAGCCCATTAGAACATAGACTCTGGTTCTATTCTGATTCTCAGACCGGGTGGGCCTAGGAATCTGCATTTCTAAGAATTTCCCAGGCTGTTCCCATGCGCTGATCTACATGGAGCAGCGAGGCCATAAGGCATGTGAGAAAATGACCCCTTAGGGGAGGGGAGGGGGGATAGTAGAGAATAGGACAGACAGCAGAAT